ATGATGGGTGTGTGAGTGAGTGCTGGATGATGGGTGTGTGTGTGTGTGCTGGATGATGGATGTGTGAGTGAGTGCTGGATGATGTGTGTGTGAGTGCTGGATGATGTGTGTGTGTGCTGGATGATGGGTGTGTGTGTGCTGGATGATGGGTGTGCTGGATGATGGGTGTGTGAGTGCTGGATTGTGTGTGTGTGTGTGCTGGATGATGGGTGTGTGTGTGAGTGCTGGATGATGGGTGTGTGTGGGGGGGGGGAGCATTTTTTTTTAACTTTATGTGTATGTATATTTTTTTATTTTATTCCCCCCTCCCTGCTTCTTACCTTGTCAGGGAGGGGGGAGATCGCCTGGTGGTCCGGTGGAGGGAGCCAGCCGCTGCACACAGGAGCCATCACACGCTGTGTTCCCTCTCCAGCTCTAACTCTCGCGAGACTCGCCTGTGCGGAGCGTTGCCATGGTAACAGCCGCGGGTCTCGCGAGAGTTATAGCTGGAGAGGGAACACAGCGTGTGCTGGCCCCTCAGTGCAGGTAGCAGGGCCGGTCCTGCAGGACAGGTAACGGGAACGGCGTTCCTGCTTTGGAAAAAGTGCAGGAACGCCGTTCCCATGCGTTCCTGCAGGACTCGAGCCCTGGGATTGTGATGTCACATGGTGGGCAGCACATTTTTGTTTACCTAGAGCGGCAAACATCCTTGCACCAGCACTGATGGGAGTTATGATTTACGAGTTACATTAATAAAAAAATTAAAAAATTAAAAAAAAACTAGTAAAGGGGTGGTACTGTGAGTTACCGCACCGGATAATGCCACTGGTCAGAGGAGTGAATATAAATGTAATCCATCTATACAATGGCACATAATTTAAGGAATTACTGGAGTACATCATACGTAAATTCTTGAATAATAGCTATTGCATTACACAACCCGAATATATAATCACAGTCAGAGGAGGCTCTCTAATTAGGCGGCTTAGGCAGCTGCCTAAGGCCTCGCACTGGCTGGGGCCTCTATGAAAATACAATGTTTACAGCAAAAAGCCTGAAGGGAATGATTCTACTCATCAGAACACATACAATAAGTTGTAGTTGTTCTGGTGACTATAGTGTCCCTTTAACTAGTTAGCAGGAGATTGACGGTGATGTCACACAGATAAAGAATGATGGTCTATAATGTACAACAGAGTGTGGTTGAGTGATAGTAGAGAAAGATGGAGGGATATGCTGCAAACGTTAGTCTATGTTGCAAGGTGCACCTTTCCACTCAGTCATGAAGGCCAATTGGCTATTAGAGGCTGCAACAATGAGTTTATGTTGGGGAACTGAATCCTTATAGTGCACATCTGCTATACAAATATTTTTACTGTCCATAGAATATTAGCCTCTTCTTAAGATATATGGAAGAAAGGGTCTGTCTTGTTTATTTATTTACTTTTGCACATCACTGTAGTTATAAGCTGGAGATGGGGACTTCCTTGCACCATAACCATAACCCGT